AAAACAGGTTAGTGACATTCTAAGTCGGTCTCTCTCTCTTTTGTATGTTATAGTGCTATATGTATATCACAATAATCTACTAGTGTTTGCTTTGGCTTTTTTGGGGTTCATTTTTGTGATCACCTGATTGCAACAGAGAAATACTGGGAAATATCTGTAGACTGATGGCATTTTATGCTGGTCAGCCTCATAATCCTAAAATATCAGCAGAGTCACCTGTTTATCATCAATTTAGACATTACGCTAGAGAATCATTCAAACACTAGCTCTAAGGTGATGTTGGTGAAGTAGCAATGGTTTCTGCTGTTCTCATGTCAGCTGTAGTTGTAAATGAATTCCTTATACAAAAACAGGATTTTTGAGACTCTTCGTGTTTGATTTTCTTTTTTTAAATACATGATTATGACATCAAACTGTTGTAAAAATGCAATATCACACTCGTAGCAGTGCAATATGGCTGTATAATTTTCACTGGTGGGCACTGGGCCTGTGGCCTCGAGGCAATGCACACCTCCCACCAGTGCCTATATACAGCCATATCACACTGCTACTCATTTGATATTGCATATATATATCTCATAGCTATATCTCATTTCCATTTAACTAAAAAACTAAACAAAAACAACAAAAAAGCTAACTTATTTCTGCCTTTGTTATATGATTCAATATTTTCTTTAATTTCTTTAATGGTTTACTTTCTTAAATGAACATAATAAAATAGATACAACTGAAATAAATATGCTTCAAATACTATATATGACTAAAAAAATTGTTACTATTGAAAATAAAGAAGTCACCAAAAATGCTGAAACAAACTACCTTAAAATAAATAAATAAATAATACATAGATGTATATTTTTTATCATTGCGTTGTATATACATAAATAAAAATAACTTTAATTAACATTATTATATCACAAAATAAGATGTATTTATATTATTAAAAACAGTTGCTAAAACAATGACAAAACATCAAAATTGATCAAACTTTCAATTAAATAAATGAAACTTTTTTTAAACAATAAATTAGCTATTATAGGATATTCGTGGAATCATTTAAATAAAACTTACAGTGCTTGAAAATTTGCAGAAAATATAATATAATACCTTATAAAAAATTACAGTGATGTAAAGATATTTTTCTTTACCAACCATCATACTGCATGTTTACCATATTTACGTACATGTTTCTCAGAGTAAACAATGCTGTGTCCTAAATCATTGTCAGAAAAACCTTTGCCAATGTCACGTTGTCCTAATGCATTTCTGTTAGGGTAGCTGAGATGTGGATTGCGGATGAAATATGTGCTGTTTACCTCAGAGAGTAGATTAATACAGCAATGCTAATGTTCAATAAACACATCACACCATGGACATTTTTAAAGAGGTTTGCACTGTGGCAGGAACATGTCATTAAAAGAGCTTTTAAACGTAGAATAAGTTATTAGTGCTGTAAAAATGGACGTCAGGGAGCTGAAATGAGTCCATATGTTCTTCAAGTGCAGTATTTTCAGAAAGGGCTGAGGTGAAGTTATGGAGACCGGTAGGACAGGACTGTGATGGTAAGGATGTTTCTGTTAGGGAATATCTGGATAGTTCAATAGTGTATGAAGCCAAACAAGTCTCAAAAATAAGATAATTGGATTTGTTTATCTTTAAACGTTTTTAGAACTTACGAATTGGATGTGTGTACTTATGAATCATGTTTTGAACTTACAAATTGAATTTAGGTATTTTTAAATTGTGTTTTAAACTTACGAATAGGATTTGTATTTATAAATCATGTTTTGAACTTACGAATTAGATTTGTGTATTTTTGAATCATGTTTTGAACTAACGAATTGGATTTGTGTATTTATGAATCATGTTTTGAACTAACGAATTGGATTTGTGTATTTATGAATCATGTTTTGAACTAACGAATTGGATTTGTGTATTTATGAATCATGTTTTGAACTAACGAATTGGATTTGTGTATTTATGAATCATGTTTTGAACTAACGAATTGGATTTGTGTATTTATGAATCATGTTTTGAACTAACGAATTGGATTTGTGTATTTATGAATCATGTTTTGAACTTACAAATTGGATTTGTGTATTTTTGAATCATGTTTTGAACTTGCGAATTGGATTTGTGTATTTATTAATCATGTTTTGAACTAACGAATTGGATTTGTGTATTTTTGAATCATGTTTTGAACTTACAAATTGGATTTGTGTATTTTTGAATCGTGTTTTGAACTAACGAATTGGATTTGTGTATTTTTGAATCATGTTTTGAACTTACAAATTGGATTTGTGTATTTTTGAATCGTGTTTTGAACTTGTGAATTGGATTTGTGTATTTATGAATCATGTTTTGAATGTACAAATAGGATTTGTGTATTTTTGAATCGTGTTTTGAACTTGCGAATTGGATTTGTGTATTTATGAATTGTGTTTTGAACTTACGAGTTAAATTTGCGTATTTTTGAATCGTGTTTTGAACTTGCGATTCGGATTAGTGTATTTATGAAGTGTGTTTTTAACTTACGAATGAAATTTGCATATTTTTCAATCGTGTTTTGAATATATGAATTGGATTATTGTATTAAGAAATCATGTTTTGAACTTTTGAATTAAATTTGCGTATTTTTGAATTGTGTTTTGAACTTGCGAATTGGATTTGTATTTATGATTCGTGTTTTGAATATACAAATTGGATTTGTACAATTATGAATCGTGTTTTGAACTTACGAATTAAATTTGCGTATTTTTGATTCCTTTATAAAGCATTTATTATATTATAATACATGTTGTGTCATTATTTTGATGGTCAAAAGTCCATCAATATGCGCATGTCAATTAGACGTCTAGTTTTTGATGTCAAATCAATTGGCATTTTTGGCGTTTTTTTTTTTTTTTTGGCGTCAATATTAGATGTCAATTTGTTGTCATTTTGAAATGTGCAATTTAAGCTTTCAGATGAATAATGTGTTTCTTAAATCATAAATTATTTTGTGTCATTAATTTGGTGATCAAAAAAAGCATCAATATGTGGATGTTAAATAGATGTTAAGGTTATGACATCAAATGGGTTTGTATTTTTAATGTGTTTTTTTAAGCCAATATTAGATGCCATATTGGAATTTGGAATTAAAGCTTTCATATGAATAAAACATTTCTAATAGTAGAACAATTTTGTGTCATTATTTACTGTAGGTGGTCAAAAGAGCATCAGTGTGTGGATGTCAAATAGACGTCAAGGTTTTGACATCAAATGGATTTGCATTTTTGACTTTTTTTGCCACCAATATTACGTCAATTTGATGATGTTTCTGATGAATAAATGTTTATTATATCATAATACTTTTTGTGTTGTTATTTTGGTCTCCAAAAGAGCATGAGTGTGTGGATAGTAAATAAACGTCAAGGTTTTGACATCAAATGGATTTGCATTTTATAGACGTGTTTTTTTTTATGCCAATATTAGATGTTAATTATATGTCCTTTTGCAATTTTAAATTGAAACTTTTTTTAAAGCTTTTATTATAGTATAATACATTTTGTGTCATTATTTTGATGGTCAAAAGTGCATCAATGTGTGGATGTCAAATAGACGTCTAGTTTTTGATGTCAAATTAATTGGCATTTTTGGCGTGTTTTTTGACGCCAGTATTAGTTGTCAATTTGTTGTCATTTTAAAATTTGGAATTGAAGCTTTCAGATGAATAATGTGTTTCTTACATCATAAAACATTTTGTCGTTATTTTGGTGATCAAAAAAGTATCAGTACATGGAAGCTAAATAGATGTTAAGGTTAGGTGTTTTTTTTTTTTTTTTAAACCAATATTAGATGCCGTTTTGGAATTTGGAATTAAAGCTTTCATATGAATAAAACATTTCTCATAGTATAATAATTTTGTGTCATTATTTACTGTAGGTGGTCAAAAGAGCATCAGTGTGTGGATGTCAAATAAACGTCAAGGTTTTGATCTCAAATGGATTTGCATTTTTGCATATTACGTCAATTTGATGATGTTTCAGATAAATAAAAGTTTCTTATATCATAATAGATTTTGTGTCGTTATTTTGGTGGTCTAAAGAGCATCAATGTGTGGATATCAAATAGACGTCAAGGTTTTGACATCAAATGGATTTGATTTCAAGATATCTGTCACATCTAAACAAACCAAACTAAAACAAAACACCGAACGACACACTCGGACATTATGGGAGTGACGAAAAACTAATGACCATGAAGGGCTAACAGAACAGGGTATAAACACAAGGAAACAATTGACTAAACAAACTGACAATGGGGTGGAGACAATGAACTCAAAGATTAACAAGATAATAAGGGTAAACTAAGGTGACCGAAAGTGACGTGAAAACACTGAACTGAAATATACAAAAACCTGGATGTTACAATGTCGTTTTGAGGTGCCTGGCTGGGTAAAATGAGATGTTAATATGTTAGACTTGCGGGACATCTTCAGTTTTTGCAGAGGTTTAGCAGTAAGATCTCCTCTAACACAG